AGGACGCGACCAGCTGCAACCAGAGTCGTCTCGAGGTCTCGCCATCAAACCTTCTCTCGCTTCATACTTGAACATCACACCAGAGTCACACAACCATGTTGGACAGACTACCCCCCGAGCTTGTTGGTATCATCTTTAACGATTGTGACCGTCCAACACGGATACGCGTCTTGCAGTGCTCCCAGGGGTTTCGGAAAGCCTTCAGACCACGGATTTATCGGCACAACGTTCTGTCAGAACGCTGTTCTGCTGCTCGATGGGCAGTGATTCACTGCCGTGATGATGCCGTGGCATTCCGCGTAGTCGAGGCATCGGTGTATGCTGGGATGGATGTTTGGGCCCCGCAGTTCGCCATCACGCTGACCGAAATGTTCCCAAGGCGGTTTGTATTGAAGCTTTCACGAATTCTGGGTCAGTCTGCTGCTAGTCTGTCCCCATTTGCCGTCGCCGTTCTCAAGCGAAGAGAGGAACTCGTCACGTCTATTCTTAGCATGACGAGTGCAACGGAATGGCACTTGGACAAGTTGCTTGCTCCAGATATCACGACGTATCTGGGAAAGTTGACAGGAGATCAGCCATCATCAAGTAGCCAACTTACGCCTCTTCATATCGCCTCCGCCACTGGTCTGGACGCTGTCGTCAAGCGAATCCTCGAAAAACCGGCACCGGGGGTGGTCTCGAAAGACGCGTGTGACCGCACCCCGCTGTCCTATGTGGTACAGTGCCCGCTTACACGTAGCTCAACCATCCGACTGCTCCTTCGACAACAGACCGATCTTCAAGGCAGAATAGCCCCCAAGAACCACGCGGACCGCCTCTTGAAACACTGTTGCCGAAATGGCCTATTTCGCCTTGCCGCATGTTTCCTTGAACATGAAGTACGATGTGACCTGCAACATCTCCTTCGCTTGGCTCTTCTGGCTCCCCCGGTGTCTCTTCCGGGGAGGTCTAGCTCCGATAGATCCGTCTTGATTCGGAGGCTGATTCGACGCGGGGCCAATCCGAACGGCATGGTGCGGGCAACAGATGTCGATGTTGATAAACGGCCGCTCCTTTCTGAGTTGGCAATGACATCGCATGAGGCGACAGAGCGTCTGATTGCCATTCGAGGTGTCGATGTGAACATCCTAGATAAGTACGGCCAGACGGCCTTAACTCGGTTGTTATTGGAAAACCACTCGGCGCGCAAGACGGTAGCACTGCTCCTGGAGCGCGGGGCAAAGTTACAGCCACACTCCCTTGGAGGTATCATACGGG